TGAATGGATGAACAATTATTTGCGTAGTATTTAACTTAGGAATTGAGGTGCAAGCGCAGGTGACTGAATATAGTTTGTTATAACGAAATTGTAATTGGATACAGCAACATATGTCACACTACTTTTACATACCTTTTTGATAACTCGATCTATTTTGTATTCTCATAGTCTATTCACACAAGCTTAGATTACTATTAAAAGTAATTTTAAAAAGAAAAAGAAAGGGATTTTCTTTAACCTTTTTTAGCATATTTAATTGAGTGTTCATTAATTTAGTATATTAATTATTTCCACTTCGCTAATTACATTACCTATTGTCTACTATTTAAATTTAAATTAAAATTTTTTAAATTTTTAAATATATACCTAAGCTTAAATGACTGCTAAAAGTAATGATGATAATTTTTAAAAAAAAGAGATATTAAAATGATCACATTTTAAAACATAAGATTATCGATTTTTACTATTCGAGGATTTTAATATAAATAAGCTATTTTGATATAATTGAAAATGAAGTTAACTTTAGAAAAAGTATAATAAATTGACTGGAGTAATTAAAATGATTGTTTTTACAACAACACGGTAGGAAGTATTTTTCTCTCATTGCCTACTGTTGTTTGTTTGTTCATTTATGAATTATGATCGTCCACGCACAGAGAAGGTCAAACACTTCAGGAATTCGCTTAAGTGGCACGATACCATTTTAGCAAATATCATCACTGCTTGCCAAAACACTTACTTTCCGTATTAATTGTGCCGACTTTTGATTGATGACTATTTGACTCATATTTTAGGTACCACAGAAATCATTTCATACTGTATCTGCAAATAGAGAAGGGTTCATGTGAAGTACTTCCACTTGTTGCAACATTATTGCTATGCATCGCAGAATATTTTTGAATAAATAATCTAAGCTTTGATAATTACCGACTAATTTTTTGATCAAATGAAAATACATCTGTTATATGATAATAAATATACTCTCAGGGATTTATACATATCATTTGATATGATAAGTTATTCTGTGATAAGGAAAAAAGTGTTAGAATTAAAAGATTATGATTAATTTTGTAAAAATTTAATCAAAATGAATATAATTTCAATTCTTAAAACAAAAAGAAAAATAGTACAAATGTTTTGTACTTTTTTTAATTTAAAGATTTTTTCAATTTTTTTTGAATGCGCTAATTACAACAAATAGATTGGTTAATTATGTGTTAATTATAATTTATTTAATTTATTAAAATACTATGAAATTTGTAGTAGAAAGCGAAATATATGAGGTATGGATATTAGAATATTGGATTGACATTACGTGAACAAAGACAAATCTGTTGGATGATAAGAATTCCCAAAGAGTGTTTGATTTCTTTATGGATCACGATTTTTAGATAACAGCAGAATATTTTTCTCATTCATTTATTATGTTTTTTTGAATATTTTAATACTGTAGCCAGTTGGCTTAAGTGATAGAAGATGTGATAAGGAAGGATTATTTATATCGAATCATAGATGGATTTTGAAAAATGCAGATAAAAATTGTTGAGGTGATAATAATGATGAGATGGTAGTGATAATGATGATAACGATAAGGTGGTGGTGATAATGATGATAATAATGACGATGAGATAGTGACAATTATCATTTAAATTCTCCACACACACACACATATACATGCATAACGAAAATATTTGCCAAGGATTCATTTTTTCTTACTGATTTTATAGATTTATAAATTAAATGAATTTAAACTACCACAGTTACTATTCTGGTGCTGTTGAATTTTTTAAAACCAGTTCTGTTTATTTAATTTGCAGCATAAGAATAAAGCCAGGGAAAGAAATACAGATAACAATAAAGCTATTACATTAAACATTTTACTTCACCATCTTACATCACATTTCCTTTTTACCTTTTTGCCGCAATCAAGACATGCAATAATGATGGGTTCATTTTACTGCAATGTAATATCTTTGATACAATTATATGTAGTTTTGGCTTATCGTGTGATCATTGGTTCATCAGTTGTCCACTATGGAAATTAGAAATTGGAATTGCACTTGCGGCATATCTCTTTTGTTAACTATATTAGCAAATGTATCAAAGGTATTATAATTGGCTATGCGATTGGATTACACATTGTACGACGAAACTATCAAATATCAGATGTACTTCTTAAAATAGATAAATTAGACAGGTGTTTAATTGACGAAAAGAAATGAATGAGGATAATGAAGAAGTGGAAGAAGAAGAAAGAGGGGAAAAAGTAGCAAAAATTATGGATAATGATAAAAGGGAATATTGTATAAATAAATGATGGGTAAATAAGTCAAATAATTACCATACAATTTACTAGGCAAATAAAAGAAGTTAAATGAATAATAAACTGCGAAAAGATAATCGTTGAAAAGGAAATTACGAAAAAATTCATATATACCAAAAAAATTGATTTAAATTCGAAAAAGATTTTCATTAAAACTATAATAATTAGTCAACAAATTACTAAACAATATTATTTGTGAAACAATTTGCTTATTTTGTTTCTAATCCTAATTAATTACGTATACTGCGTGATATCAAATGTTACGAACACGTGGGAATGTTACGGAAAATGTTATGGATGCATAAAAAATATTACGGAAAACACTACAGAAAAAAACGGAACGTAATATAAAAATGTTTATAAAAAATTTTGAAACTCAACCGTCACACTTTCCACATTTTTCCGCTCACCAATATGATTCGTTTCTATTTAACGATTTACGGGATAAGCAATTTTCACAGTGCTCCTCTATTGCATAAGGGCGACACACAACCTGAAAAATTTACGGTATTCTGTTTTCACAATTGTTTTTTTTCCGGTTGTGGATGTTTGGGCGAAGTAGAAAGGTGCCCCGGTTTTGTGAGTTGGAAAAGATATCGGTTTTTATTAGGAGCAAGTGAATAAAATGTTCCGTTTATGGTTTAAAGTTCCGGAAAATCGATGATTTCTGCATAATTTGTTCTGATAGATCAACTGTATGAATGTGCAAATGTATTTTGAATTTTGATGTCACAAATGACTTTGAAAGCAGATAAATAGTTGAAAGGAGTGAGTTTTGCGTTGCCAGAAATTCATCTTTGAAGTCGCCGTTTTGAAAATTCAGCTTTAATGTCGAACTTCTGATGACCATTCGAGAGGAGTAGCAGAAAAAAGGCAAATGATAACGTCTGTAGCAAACTTTGAAGTTTTTTTCCTTCTAAAAGAAACTGAGAAACAGAGTATTCAGGAAGTCGTGTCATCTTTAAGCTTGATTATGAAGTGAAGCATTGAAATGTTCTTCCGTTTGTACGGTAGGTGTGATGTTTTCTTTGCTTCATTAAAAGTTAGAAGTTATTTTTAAGAATGATTTGTAATATTTTGAGGAAATAATTTCAAAGATTTGCTTGCAAATCTTCACACTGATTTTTCAAAATAAATTTGGAAATGGGAAAGGAATTTTCAAATGTCATAACTACTGAAAATGAAACAATTTGATGATAGTAGTTACAAGAGTTTTCTTTCTTCTTAAGTCATTTGATTACAGCTCATAGGTTATTTCATCGCTGTAAACAAAATGCTTGCGTTTTGATTCGAAACTTTTATGCTTAAATGTCCTTCTTATGTGATGCGCTCATACGATGTTCTTCCTTGTTTCCTTCATTGAATTCCCTCTTTTAAAAATAGGATAATAGATGAGAGGTTAATAACAATAATGTACAGAGTTTCCATAGAATGCTTCACACAAATCAATAAATTAATCTTGCAAAGAATTTTCGTCCTTGGACACAACTTGTACGCATGTCGAATTTATCATAATCCGGAAAATTAGCATTCTCAACTTTTTCCTAATGTACATGGTTAAATAGACCTCATAACACTATTGGAAAAGCTGATAACATCAAAAGCTGCTATGTTTTGATATCTAGGGTTAAATTATGATCAGTATAACTGCATGTGAAATTGAGTTCTCTTTTTTTGTTAGAGCACATCTGAGCTTGCATTTTTTTCTGAACTGAACTTAAATGCATTTTTCCTCTTTTGGATATAAATGACATTTTGATAGATAAAATTTTGTTGGAAACAGCATAATATCACAAGAACTCGCCTTGTATCTTATAACTTAAATTTCGAATTTACCAGACTTCATCTGTTTCATTTCAGCTTTCATTGGCGAGTGCAGTGAAAAAGTTACATCAACGTGGGATGACAAGTGTGTGGCGGCGAATACAAAAATCGAATAAAAAATCAGTCAAATATCGTTTTATAATTACACCACAAGAATTATTAATTATATGCTCCACAAATTGGCATCCGCAAAGTGTGGTCGTAACTTGTATGCACAGGTCAGTGATATGCTGAAATTTCGATCAAATTTTCGCACTTCTTTTTTGTTAAAACCTACTAAGGCAGGAGATCTGAGGTTTATTTATCTGTCTTTTATTGCAATAGATCTACTGGATAATGAGGAATATACATTTTGTATCACTTGAGTAATCCTATAATGTGGCACTGAATAAGTAAAGCATGTAGTTGTCTACGAATCAGATGATTCAGTACTGTAATGGAGAAGAATAATCATAGGAATCAGATTGATTACAAATATGCAATTTTTTTGGTATTAGATCCTTCTCAGTTTCTTATTGGATTCAGTTCTTTGAAGAAACAAAGATCATCGGTACTTACAGGAGGCGAAAAGTGGAGGGGCGAGTACGACGATGGGAGAGCAGCATGACGGATCCCTGTCGAGGTTTAATTGTTTGGCCGTCGCAGACACCGGATCCGTTACTTTTCGACACAACACTATATTGCGACGATTCATCTCATCATTATAGCGATAAGGAATGGACTCTGTTGGTGGAAGAATGCACACGAAAAGGCAAACGAAAAGCTATCGCTGCTGTCAATTTAAATATGCCCCTTTTCGTTCAGGTTTGTCGTCGCATTCTTCAAATCACAAAATGTAGAATGGATATTTTCTTACAATACTTGTCTATGATTGCTTTCTTACCACATATAAAACTTGAGACGTATTCATTGATTGCAATTTGTTCTTAAGTTTGTATAATCCGTCTATGTATCACTTCTTCTTCCCTTATATTGGAATGCCGCCTTCTATATTCTTTCAGGTAAACATTCAAATTATGTTTGGGAACAGATCATTTTTCCTTTATAAGCATTCTAAATTATTTTTTTCTAAAAAAAATTTCGATGGTATTCTTGGAGATCTTTTTCAGAATCCAGAGACCGTAGTTGAGCTGAAATTGAAATTACGACCGCTGTGGCCAGAACTGTCTCATTGTTCAATGCAAATTTTAATATCATCAATCCTTATCGGTGATGAAGAAACGAAGTAAGCTAACAGTTCCTTATGAAAGTATCAGAATTAATAGTGGTGGTAATCTAATACAATACCACTTTAAGGAGGCTTCAATGCATGCTCAGACTCTTCTCAGATATAATGTGCATAATGTCAATTTTTTTATAACCGGGTACGTGATTGTCAAAAGATCATTATGTAGTAGTGTGAGTAGTGTTACGAGCAATGTTTCATTTAATATCAAAATGTTCGTAGAACTTTGTTCGAGGGAAAGTTCAGCAAGATTTTAATGTGTGAACATATTGATTTTTTCGTTTTAATTTATTTTCAGCGATTTCAATATGAAAAGAGAGATATCAAGTGTTGACGGTGGACAGAGAGCTAGCATAGCTGGTGATATTGCAGAAACGGAACAACGAACTAGCAGTGCAAAAGGTAAGTGAAGAAGCAAACATTAAATTTGGAGTAATTAATGTTCTTCCGTCCACCTTTAGATGGACTTCATGTTCCATTACTTCAATCAGATTGAAAATATTGAAAGTTTTACTGGATAAAAATACCTTTTCAATGCATTTGGATTTTCTGATCTTCGATTCAGAGAGAATAATTTCAGAATCGTTTAGGGCTTCGGTGATTACTGATTTTCATCCATAGTGTTTTTTATGCCTGAGTTTTTCCTGTATTTGTATTTTGTTTAGAGATCAGATATCTTTTGCAAAAAATACATCAAGACGATTCAAATTTGCCGAGGTTTATGATGTTTGGGTGCTTAAATATGTTTATGGAAATTATATCATAATATACTGTTTCAGAAAGTGCAGTCGTTACAAGTTACTCAATGAATTTAAATGACCTTGAGAGGCCAGAAACGAGTGATGAAGAAAAAGGGGTAGATTTGGCATCTCAAATTGAAAATGCGTACAAAAGTAATGGTATTATTGATATACGTGAAAGGTTTTTTGACCTCAATCACAGTTATTCTACGATTCAAGATGCTAAGGTGACAAATGCTGCTGAAAGGAATAAATCAGGTATATAAATTTGCATAATTTAAAGTGTTTTTCTGTGCAACTTTAACTGCTGAAGAAGCCTTCTGAATCATGTTATTCTTTATGTTGTTCCTTTGGAAATTCATACTTAATTCTTTTCATGATGGAATTGGTAAGATATCCTTGTCCAGTGCCCTTCTGTCGTTCATATTATGCCACTTTAATGTGTTACTTTATATCATATGATTATTGAGTCGATAATTTCCGTTTATATTTCGGGTGATAATGGTTCTTGCATGCTTCCCACAAATGGGAATGCTGATAAACTTTTAAGCATGTAATTCTATGTATGTTGATAAGTTCAAATTTCCATAATGTATTGTGGTAGTTTATAGATCATTTTACATTCGATAGTCTTTCATAAATACATTTCACGGCTAATATTGTTGTATCTGAACTCCAGTGCCAAAAAAATTTATTGAAATATGGTTGGTTGAAACTTTCGAATTCTGTCATGAAAATTTTCATATTTTGAAAGATGTTTGAATTTTATTATTTTTGAAAGATTTGGACTTTTCAGCACATGTAGATGCTAATGGATCTGAAGATGGGAGGCAGGATGCACCCCGAACACTACTGATTGATCACATGTCGCAACAGGAATCGAAATCAAGGTTCATAATTTTCTAGAATTCAAGGTTTTACTCTTAAATTCTGAGATAATTTGCTCTAGTTTATGTCCGAATGTTTCACATTACACCCGTTAACACCAACAAGTGTTTAGTGGATGATATTTATCTTGGTAAATGATAACAGCTAATTTTTCATCCTCACAAAATTAATATAAGTGCGAAATTAACGAAATAGTTATTCTTCGCCGAGAACAAATAGTATCTCTAAATCTTCATAATGGTTCACGTGGCCTTTGGTTTTTAATTTTTCATACTGTTTTATTTACAGTGAACGAGTGAAAACCGAAGTTATTGATGTAGGCTTTCAAGCGAAGAATACAGACAAATCTCCGAATTTAAATCTGGAAAAAGAACCTAAAGCATTACCTGCCATCATGGAAGGGGAGGATCTTCTTGCATGGTGCCAAAGGGTAACCAAAGATTATCCTTCGATCAAAATAACCGACTTTACGTATGTTTTCATTTCTTTAATAGGTTTAATTTTTCATTGTCCTATTTTTACATGTAGTCTTAGCTATAAAATCAAAAATGTATTCCATCTTTTTGCAGGAAAAGCTTTCGCTCAGGCCTTGCATTCTGCGCAATTATTCATCGTTATCGCCCAGATTTACTTGGACCGTTTAGCAAACTGAATTTTACAGATTCACACAGCAATCGTCTTGAGAATTGTCGTAAAGCATTGGATGCTGCTGCTTTGATTGGTGTTGAAAAGTAATCTGTTTATCTGCTAAGATCATTCATATAGACCGTATAGACTGCTCAATCTCACAATCTCACAGAGTACATATGCGCTTACTCTTTGTCGTCAAGAAGTATTCCTTTATTCTTTACAGTTTTTCTACTGCATTTCTGCTTTTGTTTGCATGTTTTATTTTTTCATCATTATTGCAAAATGATCCTCATCTGATTCAGGAAGCTAGATGCTGGTATAACTGTAACATTGCCGGACCGGAATGATGTTCGATGTTTCTTGTCTGAACTACGCATGCGTCTTGTAGATGTTCCGGCTATGAAACGTGAATCGAGCGTGAATGAATCGGACTATCGAATATCTGCACTCTTCAATCTTTCAGAATCGGAAACCAGTGTATTTCCTGTGTTTTTTTAAAATTAGATAAAGAGGTTTTTTGAATGATGAAATATCAGTCTAAGAAATAGAATTTAAAAATATGATGGAAAGGACATTAAAGCAGTTTTCTGAAGCACTTTTCATTTCTACTGTTCATGATCATTCACTGATTGTTTTTACCTTGACTTTCTATTAGCTTTAATTCTGTGAACTCCCATCAATTTAAATGAATAGAGTTTTGAAAAGGTTTGAATTTTTCATATCAAAAAATTTTTTTAGCAGAAGATAGATTAAAGTATTTCCAGGTTATGAGGGAGCTTGAAATTCTTCGCAGACAGCGTGAACGTGACGAAGCCATCGATCTGACCAATATCATTGTGAGCTGCCAAAATTCATAAGATCATCGCATATAAAATAGTTCCTGTTTTCTTGAGCAGTCTTTTTTTGGAAAGGAAAATAGCGAAGTCTTTGATATAACCAAAATACACGGATTTATGTTGCTCGTATTTTTTTCTCCTCGCTGTTATATTCTTCCTTATATTTTCTGGCTTTACTTTTAGTGAAATGGAATTATTGTGCTTTATTATCTTGATTACAAATAAATTTTGTCCAGAAATTAATTTGGCTTAAATTTCAGGATGAAGATCGTACGAAATTCAGTTCGGTTGTGCCAGGCTCTCAGAAAGTGGACGATATGGGAAATAAAGAAATTGAAGCAAGACCACGGAAGTTGAATGATCCGTTCGATTCTGATTCTGATACAGAAAATGTTGGGTAAGTAGATGAAGTCCAGCTTTCAGTCTTTCTTTAATGTTGAATTTGTTGTGAGAATCACATAACAAATTGTTCTTGGAAGAATTTGAAGATTAAGAATTTTTATTGATACTACTGATGATACTGCTGGGTTTCCTTATAAGATACTTTAAAAAAATGGAAATGTTGACTTCAGTTATTCTCACAATGCATTATTAATGTCTAATATGGTCAGGGACTGCACATTAAAGGTCAGGTACCCCTGATGATTGCAGATAATTTTTGAAAATGACCAAATATTTTATTTTAAGTTGTTTTTTAATAGATATAAATTTGTTGTCGATCCATTTGATCGTTATTTTTATTTGGTAATAGAAAAGCATTACTTTGCACTACCTGCATGTTCTTTTCCAACATAAAAATCTGTTGTTTAGTAATTGCTCGACACCAATGGTGCGTAATTCAAATTCAAGGGTTACTTCAAACATAAATGCCGGTACAAAGGTTGATGCTCGTCCGATTTCATCAATTGTTACAACGCGTCATGATGAGCTGATAAAAAAGCGTCAGCAAATATCCTCTACTTCACCTATAGTTACTGATTCGATCGATGCAACTGCGCGTGAGAGGTAATAGAATTACGAGGTTATTTTTAAATAAAATATATGATTTTTCATTTTTTATATATTGCTTACGGATTTGAGTAAGCCATTAGCAAGTAATGGGGAATTTTCCTAGGAGGTTATGAATTTGCCGATAATCTAACTGTTAAAAGTGTTACTGTAAGGAAGTTCGAAAGAATCCATTCTTTTCTTTTTACTCGTGATTATAATTTCTTCTAAATTTAGACTGCGATCTTTTCCGATTTTGTAATTAAGATTTTGTTATAAAATATGGTAGTTTACAATCCTCGAACAGTTGCTCCCATCCATGAACTTGGACTCCCCAACTTCTTTTGCAAAAAGTGCATAATACCTTGTGTATAAGCTCCAATTTTAAAAAAAGAAAAAAAATTGAATTTTTCTTAAATGTGTTGCTGAGTAAATGTTTGCTTAGAAGGATCTACAGTTATTTTTTCTTTCTGGTGTAGTTTTACGCGGATGGTTTTTGTTATAAGGAAATCGAAAAGAACTCCGTTATCTAGATCTGGAAAGCATTATTTATTTGATTTCATGAGAAAGTCAGACCTGAAGTCGAAACCTAAAAATATCTAGTAGTTTACTTTTTCCTAATATTATAGAAGATAAGTCATTTGCGACATTATACAAGTCTGAATCTGAAAGACATATTACAGGTGTCAGATATTGTAGCATTCGATAATTCGAACGGAAAATTATAAATAATAAGACAGCAGTATAATCTGTTTTTCTTTTAGGCGACATCGCGAGGAGGCTCGACGCTTGATGAACGATGCTGCTTCTGATGGTGTGACACTAGTACTTGGTGGTAGTGCACCGACAACAGCTCATCAATCACCGGGAGGTTTGTTTATTTTCTTAAAAAAAAAGTTGGTGAAAAATTTTTACTGTGATGTTCTGTTTTGATCACTGTTTATTGAAATGAGGTGCTGTTGATTTCTGTGATTTAACTTCCCTGGTTTAAATGGATTTTCAAGTGTGAATTCTCCTCTGTTCTTTAACAAAGTGCGGTTGACAAGAACTAATGTATGTCCAAGTGCAATTGAATATGTTTTTAAGCAAGTTGACTAGAACTCATCCCGATATGTTTAAATGTAATAAAGAAACAAGCTTCCATCATGAAGTTCGACTATTTGTTTAAGAATAGATTAAGAACCTTCTATATAAGCACAAAAAATGGTCCTTTTTATATGGTTTCTTGTTGCGTTTTCTTTGTTTTTTTTTTTTAAATTTTTATTTGCTTCTTAATGACTCTAATAGCTTTTGTTTGTTGTGTGCAGTGGCAAAAACGTCTAGCTTGCTTCGAAAGCTGTCGACATGCACCAGTGACGAGGTTGCAAGAAGCTACTTGCATACACTTGGTACGTATATATGTTCATTTATTTGTTCTATAAGTTTTTCTACCCATAGTATAATAGGTGCCATAGCATATTGTTGTTTTGCAAGCATGCAGGTGAAGGCTTATTCTTGATTTCGAAGGTAAATAGAAAACTTGTTAAATTTTAAGGTATGATGCTGATTTTGCGAGGTAATTTTTGCGTACGCTTTCATTTGGCTACAAAAAAAAGACTCATCAAAAGAACAAGTGTAGGATTGGGTTTTGCGAAAACGGTGCGATTTACCTTATGGCTCAGCACTAATTACCACTTTCACTTCAATTTTCTAGTGTTCTGTTACATTTTTAACTGATCTTATGGACAAAATGATTTCTAAATTTTGTTAATGGTAGTCAGGATATCGATCCAAAGGCTTTTTCCCCATTAGTTTCTTCTTTCTGATATCTTCAAGCCAAGAATTAAACCGCATGAAACTTTAGCCTTCATCTGTTAGGTCAGATTAGATATATTTGCTAAGCGCATTTTGTCCATCTGCCTCATTCATATATTATATAAATAACGCATTAATTAAGCACGAATGATGACTGTTCCACTGTCTATTTTTTTTTTAAAGCAAGCTTAGAGTACTTCTGCATTTCAAATGCATGAGAAAAACATCAGCAAAGATGATTAGTGTCAGAAATCGTTATAACTCAGATTAAAATTTATTGTAACACGCTAAAATAAGACGAATTTCCTGTTTTATTTTTGTGCCGTATGTATTCTGTACCATGCATGAAAATGCTTTAATGCATATTTATAGAATTGGTTACTCCAACGGTAAAAATTTACGACTTCAAAAAGATTCAGCCTTCTCCAACTTTTCAACGTGAAATATGTGCGTTTGTTGTGTTTTTTTCTGTACTTCCATTTCTACTTAATCTGTTTTTTATATTTTTACATTCTTTTTTTGTCTGTGCATGAATGAAAAAGCTTTACATGAATAATAACGAGTAGTCAATAAATGACTTTAATCTAATATTAAAGTTGAATAGATTTTCAATGGGGGCTGCATTTGGCATTGCAATGCATGCCAAGTATTATTTTGCTGCTAAAAATGTGGCGAGTAGTTTAACTTGTGTGCGCTAATACTCTGTCTTAGTGGATTATATTTTATTTGCCATTTCATGCAAAATTTCTAGCTGTATAAAAGTTAACGATTTCAAGACTTGTTTTTATTGAAAAAGTTCTCCTTGAGTTATTATTTTCCTCGAGTTTTGGAAATTGGCAACAATGTTCGCTTTTTAATAAAATAATAAAATAAAGTGCATAGAATCTAGTAGATCACAAATTACTATAAGTTATTTATTATAGTTTTTCTTAAGCATTGAAAGAAATTGCAATGAATGTTTGTTTTTTAATGAAAATGAAAAGAGGAGAAAAAAGAATCTATTTTAATGAAAAGAGCAAAAAAATACTATAAGTCATTTATTTGAAATTAATTTCAGTATTAGACGATAAGTGGAGCAAATTCTATGAAGCGCATAACTGTCTTATAATTTATAATTCTTTCCTTTTCAAAATATAAAATAAATGAATGAACTGTTGGATACATTTCAGATGAAGCACCAGTTACTGCGCCACAGGAAAGACTTACTCGAAAGTTATCAAACGGCAATGCTGATGTAAAGCTTTCATTTTCCTTTTTCTTCCATTAGAATGTAATCCATCGATTAAAATGATGAGATTGGATAGATAAAGATTGTTTGAACATACTTATATTTGTAATGGTCAAAATAATGATAAAAATTGTTTATGCATACTTATACTTGTAATTAATCAAAATTATATTTTTTAAATAGAAAAAATTTCTATAGATGTGGGTGGTATATTGTAGGGTGAAATCTGAGAAATAAGGTAGAGCGATTAATTTTTTTAACATATTTCAATTTGGTTTTTTGGAAGATTAATGGGAAAGCCAAATTTCTCAAATAATTATAGATTGAACTAGTAACAGTATTCGAAATGTGATCAAAATATAATAAGAGCATTAACACTGTCGTTAAATTTATTCCAGATACAAAAAAACAGCCTTGGTGTTACGCTGGATCGAGCGAAAAGGTATGGCAGTATGAGAGGACAGGAATTAATTGAAAGCGTGGCGAAAGTTGCTGGACGAGCGGTTAGTAATATCAGTTGAATCAGCAAAAACTAGAAATTACAAAATGCAACTTTTCATGATCATTTAATTAGCGGACTGATTAACTACGGAACTCAAAATTAATTCTTCAAAGCTGAGCATAACATGTGTCATGATTATTCTACCACCATAGTTGTTTGGTGGAATGATTTCTCGTTGTCAGATTTCGAGTGTTTTTACCTATGACCGTATTTGATGTAGTATCCTATCTTGAAATGTAACAGACAGTAATTATGGATTTCGAAAAGGATCCTAAGATAGGTTCGATTTATTCTTTTTCAGTTTACACCATCTTTATCAGCTTCGGAAAATCCTGTAAGCGTGACACCAACACGAAAACTAATTTCTCAATGGGAGGTAAGTTGTTTTCAAATTGCGATACACTTTTTGAATTCTTCTGGAATAAATTCATTTGCATTCTTACCTATTTCATCTATTCGAGGTTTTCGTCCTTTAAGGTCTTAATAATCAATGGTCACCTGACCTTGATTAGGTCCGACATTGTTCGATTGGCTTAAGGAATTCTCAAGTGGCTTTTTCGATCATAGGAAATTTTTCCAAAATACGTTTTGTTTTTAGAAAGATGGTGCAGATTTGGAAAAGATTCAAGCAGAGTTGAACCGTCTTTCGAAATGTTTGGCGCAAGTTTCCGGTGAAGATGAAATTATTTGTTCACAGCTCATGAAAGCAAGTTAGCTTTTCTTTCACTTTATTTTTCAGCAATTACTTCTGGTTTTTTAAAAGAGCATTTAAAAAGCTAAATTTACTGCGTAACTAGTCGGATTTCTCAAAATTTGCAGAGGTTTCGTCGGAAGAAGAGGAACGTTTGTTGCAAGAACATATGAGGTTGCTGACAGAGAAAGATTCCATTGTTAGGCGAACAGAATACTTTAATGTTCTGGAGCAGTTACGTGAGGTGGAAGATGAAATAACAAAGCTGCAGCATGAATTAGGCTCTGTTTCCACTATTGACGGTGAGATCACTCGTTGCCTTTTGGATTTAATGTCAAATTTTAAATTTCGTTCTTACCTTCTTTGGAATCATTTGTTACTCCTTATCAGGCTATCCGTAAATTTTTCTTTGAATTTTACCAACTTTTGTTTAGTTTGATTTGGTCTCTCATCATATACTTGGATTTTCATAATCTGTAAAAACACTGGTTTCTTCAAATCGTTTCACTTTAAAATGAGAATATTCAAAAAAAGTATTGGTTTGGCATATTATACATACTTTTGTCTGTAGAAATTGATAAGACTGAAGAAGACAAGCAGAGAATTGATAAAATGATGGATGATTTGGTTGCGCTGGTGAACAGAAAAGATCGCTTATCACAGAAACTGATAAACCATGAAGCTGAGTAAGTTCGTCGGATTTTTTCTTGAATAGTTAGTTCCGTTAAAATTTTCCTCTTCGAAATGAGAATGTTACATGTTTTTAACGCTCTAAACATGTTCGGTGCGTTAAATGCCAGATAATTTAGATGTCCTTGTTATTCCTGTGATTTTTTGATTACAGTATTCTTTCATAAGGTGTTTCAAAAGTTCATTGATTATTATTTGATCCCATCTGGTTCTCTATTGCTACATTAACATTATCTTTCTTCATGATTCTAAATTAGTAACTTTTTGATCTCTTACAATCCTGTATGTTATAGAATAAAAATAATTGCAGAGATGAAGAGATAGATGAAAGAGATCGATTAACTCTAGAAGCAGCTGCGAACTTTTCACGTGGCTCCGAACAACCTTTATCGGCTTCCAAAAGAATAATAACCTGGATTCGGTCCGAAATATCTAGTTGAGCAAAAAAATATAATAATGAGCATGCAAACCTCTTCATGCTTTTTGTCTTGTCTCGTCATTAGCACTTTATTTTCTGCTGCATTTCTCTGCGTGCCACTTTCATAACGAGCGGCTTATTCGACTAAACTGCTTTTTGATTAATTTGTTTACTGTCATTGCATTATATTGCGAATTGATTAGCAGCATCGATTGTCATTTTCATAAGATGATTGATCTTGAGTTGGACTTTATTTGCATTCTAGTGAATAGTTTACGTTAATTTTCTTACACGAAAATAAGCCATGAGTATGCAGAAAACAGAATGTCTGCTACTAGAAGGACTCTACTTGTATTACTGTTAGTCGGAATCAGTTTTGCTGAAAAATTTGACAAACATTATGTCGATTTTATGCAAATAAATTAGTAAAATCTGTTACTTGCAAATTTTGGTATATTTTATAACGAACGAAATTTGAAAAAGATTTCTATGCTCATATGTTAGAGGAAAAGTTTCTAAAGTGTAGGGCTTTTTGTGGGTCACTTTAAATGGTGATAATCTGGCTAATTATTTTTCAATTTTCTCAATATCTTCATATCTTTTTATTGCCATGCGTATTAGATTGATTAGATTTTCCATTATATTCTCTGCTATCATTTTGTTGTTATTGATTCTTAAATCATAATATCCTGGTAGAAGTTGTGCATTTAATTTAGTTTACCTATGTTTTTTTACGCACGACTGTTTGAGTTGTTCGATCTCACTAACATTCGTTCTATTTTGAGCTTTTTTTTCTTTTCTTCACCTTGTCGAATTACCTTAATAATCAGGATGAAAATTATTATGTAAAAATGATTAAATTAAAATAACATGGTAAAGCGCATTGAAAAAATATATAGTCAATTTAGTGTTGTTTTACCACTGTAACATTTCTTAATTACTTAATTATAATCTAATCTTAATTATAATCTAATCTGTAAAAAATAAACTAGCATCATTTTATAATTTGTACAATGTTTTAGCTGAGATTTTTTTTTTGAAATTTGAAAATAATTTGCAGGTGAAGTATTTTCATCAAAATTTAGAATGCAAAATCGTAGAATATAAAAATCGATAAATAAACATTAACTAATTCCTAGCGTTATCATAACATAGTTTATCTGTTCAAATAAAATTCGTTATATATCAATTCATACTTGTATTTTTCTATTATTACGCTTTATCTGTAATCTTACTGCATTTGTAACTGCTTTTAATTTCTTTTCGCTAATTACAAGTGTAAATGGATACATAAATATACATACATGTGTAAACATTTATTACAACGAAGCGGTTGATGAAAAATTTTGTAGCAATTAAATTTCTCATTTTTAATCTACCAATTTAAAAACTACATTACTTTTATCGATATTTAAGCATATAAAAGGTACATATATTTTAAAGATATACATATATATTTTATATATTTTTACATGTATACATATTTCAGTTACTTCTATATTTTATATTTTAAAAGTATCGATCATTGAAATAAAAATTGTAGTATGCTAAAATTATTGTTTCTGAATTTATCAAATCAACAATTTTGATTTTAAAATTTTAAATGAAATTAATATACAATTTTCGATCAATTAAGAGATTGAATGCATATCTGTCTGATAAAATTATAAAAGTTGAATTGAAATGGAATCATAAAATTATTAGTTTGATGTGGGACTTAACGAATTTTCATGCTTCTAATTTTTTTCCTGACTTGTTTTGACAGGTAGTCAGTCATAACGACGTTTGCAACATTATCAGCCTGATCGGTCATTTATTTTACAATCAATCCATCATTCAATGGAGCCTGAGGCTATTTATTCTCTCTGTATGTGTCATCATCGCAAGTGAGCTTTTTGCTACGAATGTCAGTCACATAGGCTGTCATTCATCCATCAATCCATCCATCCATCCACCCATCCATCAATCCATCTATCCATACATTTATCCATCCATCCACTCATCTGTCCATCCATCCATCTATCTCTATCCATTAATTAAGGCTTCATTTGCATTACTATTATTGTTTGATAACTCTTCCTATAAGTTTACTTAAACTTTCAAATAATATTTTTATTTCTTCTAATTTCATTCCTTTTTTTCTCTTTTGATATTTTCATAGCTACGATTTGGTTATTGAATTTTTTCCGGAAGATATTCATTTTATCATAATA